GCACATCCCATGCTGAGAGTAATAAATGTGGCGTTCAGCTGAAGTTACCATATTTGAAGTTACAGTGGGAGAAGCTGGCAAGGTGTGAGAATGAGATTGCGGATACTGTTTTTATAGATAAAAGATTGGAGCTTAAAGGAAAGGTTCAGATTGGATGTCTAGGTATGATCCGAAATTATACTGGATCTACCTAGAGGCATGATTTTGTTGTAACATCCATCCATCCATGCCCCTCTAGCAGCTAAATGAGATACTGTTTGACTACCCTAGCTTCAATATTTCAACTCGTCTCACAAAACCATTACTACTAAATTGCCGCAGGACCTCTGGAGTTTTCGATAGACTCAAAAACCGCACTGTCAATTATGTTGTAAGTCTAGGATTGAGCTAGTTGTATATAAAAAACTTAGATCAAAGGAAGCAGATCCCCTCCCCCCTCTCCATGAGTTCAAGCTGAGATTCTCGATCTCTGGATGTACAGATAGGCAGGCCGCGTTCTACATAACTTGTAAGACCAGTGCAGCGTAACTCCCAGGATAACTGGCAAGCCTCAAGTCGAAATGATGCGATTTTGAATTCCAAACCGAGCCAGCCATAGAACAGTATAATCAAAACGGCCGCATAATGAAGGGATAATCTACATTCCAGACTTTGTTGTCTGACGTTTTCTTGTAGCTGAATCGACAATCAGGACGCCTCCTAAAATAGGCCCATTCTCAAGCTCTGCTGGTCCCCCTTGGCGGGCAGGGCGGGGGGAGTCCAACTCCACCTTTTAACTGAGGTCCATGTCCCAGGGTCCACTGCCCGCTCATCAACCTCCCAGTGCCAGCCTCGCCCGAACTCCTGCTACAGGACCGCCCCGATTTATTTTTGGCGAAGTCCGTCAGCGCCTCACTGTCAAACCCTTGCGAGCTTCCAATTCTAGTTCCAGTTCCACTGTCAACGTAGTAAGGGGGCAGACAAGAACACCAACGCCTCAACACCCCCCCTTGGATTGGATTTCTGCCAAACAGCTGGCTTCTGGCATTCTTCCATTCATTCTGCCGCCGGACGCAGCACCCGGTCTCTCGTTCCCAATTTCCCTGACACACTCTGCATTGATTGCTTCTTTATCTGGCTTTGATACGTGGTCGAGGCCACCTAACCGTTCCTTTATCCTCGACGAGAAGAACACCGCCCTTACCTTCAAACTATACAACACCTTCATCCTCAATCATGTCGCAACCGCAGGATGTCGCCTCGCCGGTCGTTAAAGATCACACCGATACCGAGCCTGAAAAGCATGAGCAACAGCAGCAGAAGACCCATGAAATGCCCGAGAAGCAAGATGCGCCAGAGGCACACGATGAAAAAGAAACAACGCCCACAATGGAGTACAAACAAGAAGACCTAGACACACACGAAAAGGACGAAGACAGCATAGCAGAGAAATATGAAGACAAGGCTGAAGACAACATCGAAGTGAAGCACGAAGCCAAGCATGAAGAAAAACCAGAAGAGTCAAATGGCAAGCCAGAGGAAAAGCAGCAGGAGCAGCTGTCGCAAAACGACACCAATGTTAAAAGACTTTCGTCTGGCACGGAGTCTGACGACAGTGTGTCGGTAGGTTTATCCCACATTCCTCCCTCGACTACTGCGGTGCCAGTCACACGACAGATGCCATCCCTTATTTCGCTTCAATGCTAATTAATTTCTTTAGGCATCTGACGCTGATGATAAGTTCGAAGATGCTGTGACGCAGTCCCCTGCAAGGTCCCTTACCAAACGAAACATTTCGCAGGCCAAACGTCGTGATAGCGAAGTGGAGGAGCAAACCGATCGGCGGTCTGAAGAGTCGCATTCCCACGAGAATACTCTGGAGACAAAGGTCACTCAGCATAAGGTCCCTGGAACAGAGGCAGGCAGCGCCAAAGAAAAGCAATCACGACGAAAACCGTCAATAGCCTCTACACGCATTTCCAATACTTCAAATCTGGATAACGTCAGTCTTGACGACGATACGCCCCCGTCTCCAGGTATGCACATTCTCTTTGCCTCTTATCACTGCGCATAATACTGATCTTTGTAGTGCCCAAAGATCTTCCACCGAAACCAAACAGCAAGACGATATCTTTGAACAGCATCTCTCTTCCATCTATGCCGTGGTCGCCCGCCGCTGATACTTCGAAAAGTCCTGTGCCTTCAACAGCTACACTTGCGCCCTCTCCGCCAGTGCCTCAGCCTCCGCCACCACCTAGTCGAAAACTGACAAGCCCTTTCTCTTGGCTTTCTCGAAGCTCCAGCAAAGAGAGAGAGCCCCCGCTTCCACCCCCTCCTACTGGCCGAAGGAACACAGCTGGTTCGATTGCAACACTATCAAGCAACCCTGAAATGATGTTGAGTCGGCTCGAGGAGGAAAAGGATGGAGACTCGCTACCTGGTGATCCTGCCCAACGGGTCACCCTGAAAGACAGATTCAAACAGCTGCGGCAACAAGAAGAGGCTGCTCGCGCAATGGCAGAAGGAGATAGTAGTAAATATGACGGAGCTCTTGGCCTCACTTTGCCAGGTGATGAAGGCCAACCCCAAGAGAAGCCTCCGTCATCGCCTGTTCCGCAGCCGATTCCTGGGCTGGCTCCTGGCACAGTCGCGGGAGTCAACGCCGGGCCTTCGGCCATTTCAGAAGAAAAAGTCGATTGGGACTTGTGGCAATCTGTTGTATACGAGGGGCCGGCTGCTGTTGCTCGAACTAGCGCCGAGGAACTGAACAAAGCTATTGCAACCGGCATCCCTAGTGCAATCCGTGGCGTTGTCTGGCAGGTGCTGGCTGATAGCAAGAATGATGATTTGGAGTTAGTGTACAAAGATTTGGTAGCTCGCGGTACAGACAAGAGCAAAGACCGTCACAGTAATAGCACGACTGCTAGTTCGTTGAGCAACGGAAACCTCAGCGTTCATAGCGGGGACGCCGTCACATCCTCTGCTTCCTCCATCAACTCGGATCACTCCGGTACAAATGGTACGCCATCTCCAAACGAGAAGAGTGCGGAGGCTGTTTTGAAAGCCCAAGCTGCTGCAGCGGCTGAGCGAAAACGGAAGGACAAAGAGGACGCGGCGACACTGCAAAAACTGGAAAAGACAATACGCCGGGATCTTGGTGCCCGAACCAGCTATTCTAAGTATGCGGCTGCTGCTGGGCTTCAAGAGGGTCTGTTCGGTGTCTGCAAGGCATATGCCCTTTTTGACGAAGGTGTTGGCTACGCTCAGGGCATGAACTTTCTCATCATGCCTCTGCTATTCAATGTAAGTCTTACTCTCGCATGCTTGTTGTGACATGCTCACAATGTTCTCTAGATGCCTGAGCAGGAAGCTTTCTGTCTCCTAGTTCGACTAATGAATCACTACAAACTGCGAGATTTGTTCATCCAGGATATGCCGGGACTGCACATGCATCTTTATCAGTTCGAGCGGCTTTTGGAAGACTTCGAGCCAGCATTGTACTGCCATCTTCACCGGCGGGGAATATCTCCTCATCTCTATGCCACGCAATGGTTTTTGACGCTTTTTGCCTACCGGTTTCCACTTCAACTAGTCCTCCGCATCTACGATCTTATCTTCTCTGAGGGCTTGTCGGCAATTCTACGCTTCGGAATTGTTCTAATGCAGAAGAATGCCAGCATTCTCCTGGGATTGTCTGACATGCAGCAACTCACCACATACCTTAAGGACAAACTGTTCGACGTCTATATTGATAAGGATCCCAGCCATGGCAGTCTCCTTGAAAATGGTTTCTTCGGAAGCTCAAGCTCTAGCATCGATAAGGAGGTCTATCGTGCAGATCAGCTCGTGAAAGATGCCTGCGAAGTTAAAATCACACCAGAAATGCTCAAATCTTATAGCACAGAATGGGAAGAGAAAACTAAGGCTGAGAAGGATCGCGAGAACGAACTATTGGAGCTTCGCACAGCGAACCATAATCTCTCTATTCAAGTCCGGAAACTGGAGGAGAGGGTTGAAGTTTGCGATCGTGAGCAAGCAGATCTGGCAACAGAGCTTGTGCACACCAAGGTCGAAAACCAGGAACTCAAGGATGAGAATGACAGCATGAGGGGTCAAGTTCGGGAGTTGAAGATTGTCATTGAGAAGCAACCCATGGAAATTGAGGAGACATGGAAACTTGAGCGGGACGATCTGATGAAACGCAACATGCATGTTCATGAGGAGAATCAAAGACTCGAAAAAGAGTTGTCCGAGTTGGAAGAAGAGTTGGTCCAGACAAAGCTGCGCTATGCAGAGGTGAGTTTTCTTCCCATCATTCCTCTTTTCTTTCTTTCTTTGAAGTTGAGTTGCTTACGAATCATTCTAGATCAACTCTCAGCACGAGACCTTGAATCGTAAGTGGACTGACTTGAAGCGTCAGTTCGCATGAGAAACTTGAAAGAACTCCCGTAAACTTGTTCTGGTTATTTGGTCCTGGACCACACACTTCATGTATAAAGTATTCTTGTTTACCCGATTCCACTTTTAGCTTACTGCAGTTGGCCCTGTTGGCTAGCTTGCTGAAAATGTCGGATTAGACATGTTGTAATGACAGTATCCTGGGAATAAGGCAATGACGGCGTCGATTCTCGTATTTTGCTACTGTTCACGATGAGAACTCTTGTGTCTGGCATTGGCAGTGTTGCCATACGTGCAGGTAGACATTGCTTTTTGTGGTCTACGAAGGCATGGCAGTTGGCTTATCCCGTCTACACATACCCCATATAGAATGAATGAAACACTTATTATAGATGTGGGATTGATATCCTCCCCATTAGAACACCATGTCACGTTATGCAAGTGCAGAAACCTTGATCATGAAGTAAATTCATCGCAAGAAAAATTTTCATTCCCTAAGGACCCATTCCGATGCGTTATGTTAAGCTCATCCTGTCCTGTAACCATCAAGACAGCGAGAAATCCTTGAACACCATACCAGGGGCCGACATTCCTTTCCTTATCTGGCTTTTTTTTAACCAAGTTTACTTGTGGAGCTTACGCTGGTAGAAAGCGAGCTCCTCACCCTCCAGAATGTAACCGTCAACACGGCCAGACTGACCGGGTCGGCTGGAAACAACGGCGTAGAGTCGACCGGCCTCGAACTGCTTCTCAATGGCGCTCTCGACCTTGCCGCGGGAAGACAGACGGGCGGCCTGCTTCTTCTCAACAGCGTTGGACTTCTTCACCTCCTCCTCGGTCTTGCCCTCCTTGGCAGCCTGAGCCTTCTGGCGTCTTCGGCCGAGGGCCTGGCCGTAGTGGGCCTCGTACCACTGTCGGAAGGGAGCGGCATCAACCTGGACGACGGCGCTCTTGGTGAGGGTGTTGGTTCGGACAAGCTCGTTGTTGGAAGGGTGGTAGGCGACGGCGATGACACGGGTCTTGCGGGTCAGACCCTCGGAGCCCCAGGCAAAGTTGCCAGAGTCGAGACGGAGGGCACGGTACTTGTGGTTACCACCTCGGGTTCGGACGGTGTGAATGCGCTTGGGGCCAATACGGGTGTTGGCACCCTGGCGACCAGCCTCGAAAGCGCGCTTCTTCCCTGTTGTCAAAGGTCAGAACGCATGTCCAAATGGATCATACGGGCTTTCGGAATTATTACGCACGGTAGTAGGCACGCTTGGCGCCGGAGGCGGAGCGCTTGTGTCGAGAGTCACGCGAGATACCCATGATTGCGGTTTCTGTAAGAGAGAAGAAAAGACGAAGTGGTTAGCCAGTGACCCTAATTGATGGGAGGCAGAGAGAACAGAAAAGAGCAGAGCAACTCAATCAGCAGGGTCTTCGAGATGAGGATATCGTCGAGCAGTGCAGCGTATTGAATTCGTCTCTTTGTTCTCGTCGTCTGGCAACTTACCTGATGATGTTGGCGCTCACCAGGCAATCGAATTGGCGGATGGTCGTGAAGAACTTTTTGGCTGAACGAGGGTCAAAGTTCTGTTAGTAGAGGCTTGTGGAAATTTCTGTGTGTTAGGGCTTGCAAGGAGCAGTGCGGCATCACGTGACTTTGCAGAAGAGTGCTATGGCTTAAGTTCACGTAAGAAGGCGCTAATTCTATGTGCATCGCTTCGTTAGCCGGAAAACAGATATTCCACTCCGAAATGTTGAAAGTCCTAGTATGGGGCCCGACGTACCCTGCAAGCCAGTGAGTGACCAATAGCATAACACCCAACTCACATCATGAACATGAAATGACCTGGAAAAGTGTCCTTAGTGTTCACTGAGCACCTTATACTATCATCTTTCCGAGGTTTCTCTTTGTTTCGTGTTCACATTTGATATAATATCTATCTGTATGCAGTTCTAGCCTCTGAATCTCCTCGAATCTGATAGCAAGGATCATGAAGATCTTCCTGAACCGCCCGTCTCAAAATCTCCAAGTCTGTCCAAAGCGCCTCCAAGCGTATCGTCGGCGCTGGCACATCCAATCATTTACGGATAAAGATGATGTTAAGCCTATACCATGGGTAGTCCTTCCAGCTTTTCCTGCCGGCTGCTACTTTGAATCTTCCCTCTTTTCAGCCTGTTGCTTCTTTCTCCCCCACTCTCTCCTCGTCCTCCTGCTCAACCGTCTTCTCCGTGTTCTCTTCCGTCCTTTTTGCGTCATCTTCAGCTACATCTATGGATTGAAGAAGTGTAGCAAGAATGAGAGGGGCTTCGTCTGATTGCAGCTCGATAGGTGGGGTAACAGAACGCTCTTCTGGTGTCACAGGACAAAGATAACGGGATCCAACTTGAACGACTCCCTTGGTGCTACGGACTACCCCGTCAGAGCTGCAGGGTTCAGATATTTCTGAAGAAAATCTGAGAGAAATGAGATCCAGCCTTGGGAGAGGCAGGCACCGGCCCTGTCGACTGGAGCGTTTGTCTCCCTCTTCTTTGAGTTCGGTGAGGGTCGGCCATCCAGCGTCATACGATGGCTGGTTCCGTGATTTGTTGAAGCAATTGCTGGCTGCAAACACAGGAGAAAGACGATCTTTAAATTTCTTCCCACGGAGGAGCTTCATCACGGGTTTGACTTGAGTCTCCACGCCTTCATCAATGTTCGCACCCGTCTTTGCCAGACGTTGCTTAACCTCTTGATCGAGCTTCCTCGTCTTTGATTCTGCCAGATTTGCTTTGAAAGCTGTCAGCTCTACTGGGCTCTGAGGAACAAATGGAGACTGGTCGGCGCTCATGTAACGCAAATTGGCCATCATCTTCTGGAACGCCTGACGTTCCTTTGTAGCAAAGCTTGTCCATCTTTTGGATTGAGACCATGAACCCGACTCAGGCCCATTCAAATTTAGAGTCTGTTTCAAGGTAGCACTGAACGTCTGAGGAAGTTGGCGCGCGGAAGATGGACCCTTGGGTGCATTTTGGAGCGGATCGACCAATATCTGTCTCCCCTCTTGAGGTTTCTTCTGCTCTTGGGGTGCAGTCTCTCGCTTGACGTTAATCTTCGCACCTCTCATAACGCTAGGAGAATCTTGTGAATTTTGTGCCTGTCGAGTTGGGATGAACCCTGTGGTCTTACTATAGTCAGCCGCCTTGCGAAGCTCTTTCTTGACTTCTTCTTGCGTCGAGTCGTCACTGCAAACAGCACTGAGAAGTTGACGGTCTTTACCAACAGGCACTGAAGTCATCTAAATATCAGGATACTTGTTGTGCTTTGACCCTAGTTGTGCTCCTCCGCTTTGATCCTTGATCATATCGACTTGCATTCTCAAAGGGGTTGTAGTATCAGACACATTGGTAGCTGCACCGGAGCTAGAGTTGCTTGCCTTGGTGGAACTAGAGGTACTGGCCTTTTTCTCATGGCGGCCTTCCATGGGCTGACTCCGCGAGTCACTTTGTGAATCACTGCCTTGGGTAGTCGGATACAATTCAGACCTTTCCGGAGGCTGCAAATGCATTCGGAATTGACTATGGGGCTGCATCTGGGGTCGCATTTGTGGCTCTGGCAGATGATAAATGAAAGGCTGCGGTGGCAGGGTTGGTGGCGGCTGCGGCGCATAATGCATCCCACTCTCTCCCTCAAATGAAGGCCAATCATTGTGTTCATAATGGCTATCATAGTCCGCCGGGTAGTCCATCATCATCTCTGGTTGAGCCAAATGGACCAACCACGGAGCCGGGGCAATAGGCCATGGTAGAGGCGAGTATGGCATCATAGGCGGTACCAGAGATGGCCCCATACGTGGCGCATAGTTGATCGGATGATGCATCATTGGATGGGGAGGTTCTGATGCAAACTGGTTGTAAGAGTGATTTGGAAAAACCATAGGAACAGGATACCCAACCGGAGACATAATTATCTGGCCTGGAGTAGGTGCACGTCGTAATCTGGAGCCTCGCGATCTACCGTCTGGATGGGGAGTTGGGGGCCTCCATGCCCGCCTAGGAGACCTGGTTCTCGCCCTGGCGTCAGTTGACCGCATGCTTGCCCTCGTTCTAGGGCGACTGAAAGAGTTGCGAGATGAAGCTGGAGGTGTATAAATGTCGGGTTTGAGGAATTCAAGTGACTTCCTCGGAGTGTAAACTGTCGGTTTCAGATATTCCAGGGGAGGCTCATTACTACCCTCTTCCTCATCATCAGAGGATTGTGAAAGCTGATGACCTATGCTCGACTGTTTATCGTTGCCCGATCCTGAAGACAGAACCTGGTCCCCTTTACCTCTGGACGTTTGGCGCTTGCTTCGTTGTTTCTTTCTCATTTTCGGACTTCGAACCTTGAGGGGATCAACCTGGTTCACAGTCCGAAGAGCAGGGAACATGGATTCGTATCCTTCGGGGTCGATTGTAATGGAAGGAATTGTTCTGCCTCGAGGTCGTGCTCGAGGTGAGCGCACATCTTGATCTGGATGTCGTGCTTCCATGGAAGAGGGCGTAGAAGACTCATTTTCATCGGAAGAGAACTCATCTTCCGAAGGCTCAACCGGGATGAACGTTGGCGCACAGGGATTCATGATAGTGCCTGGTGGTGCATGTGCGTTGATCTTCGAAGGGCGATGAATATTGAACAAATCGAACGCGTTTATCGATAATTCAGCTTGACAACAGAGTCATAGGATGGTTTATGACAGGCAGGTTTGTCGACTTGCTTCGAGCCACTCGCTTGTTGTCGGGTAACGTGAGCTATAGGTCTGGAAGAAGGACGTAGGTCAGTTAAGCTGTTTATGTTCCCTTCTGAGCCTGCCTGCCTATGAGATACGATATAATGCCCAGACTTTCAGCAAACGGTTGGGTGTATCAGAGGCTTTTCATGGAAGGGACAAGATGCCTCTTAGTCGACAAAACACGTTGATAATAATCTGGGGTGCAAGCAAGCTGTTTCGGCCAGACTGTGAAGATAAGAAAAAAAGACTCTTAGTGAAGCGTGGAATAAAGAAATGCTCAAGCGCTAAGAGGATATGCATGAAGTATAAGACGTGAATGCGCGGCAGCTGATCGCCAGCTGCCGGATAAATACTAGCAAACAAATCGCGGTGATTGAGAGATGCCGATTTGGGATAGTTTGGCTTGGGCTTTGCAAATTGAAGGAAAATCAAATCAAAGATTGAATATGTTTTTCACTTGCTGAAGATTATGGATGAGGTGGTGGTGAGGCTGATGGGGCTGATCCTGTTGGCAGCTCTAACAACTGCCAAGTGAATCAAAGGCAGACACTACATTTACACTTAATTATCTTATCTTTGCTGCGAATGCTAGAATACAGTGAGAGGTTCACTGGCAGCTTCATACAAATATCGATGGGATAGTTTATTAAGTCTATCTCTTGTCCGAGGAGATATCATGATAGCATGATGTATTTCGAGAACAACTCTATTACAGTTAATACTCCCTACGGTCTTTCTTACAGTCAATAATAGTGCGGAGCCTCGAAGGGAGGACAAACCTGGCTCAATTACAGAAGATGTATTCCAACATATCATTCGTAGAAGATAACTAAGATAGATTCAAGGTCTTGTAGTTGTAGTAGAAGAAAACTGGCCTTGCTTCTTCTCCTATTTTCCCTTCTTTTTTATTTTATTTTTATTAATTTTTTTTTAACAAAAAAAAAAGAATAAGAGGAAGAAGATAATCAACTATCTCTTAATCAGACCTGTCATCGTGATCGCAAGAATAAATACTCCTGGGTGTCTTGTTTCTGTCTCTGACTCCAAACGAGGAGGAGAGATGGGCTGACGAGGAGGTATTCATAGCATACCTTAATGTGAATGGTATATGACACTCAACTGTATATGCCGTGACTGATTACCTATTTTGAAGCTCAAAATTGAAGTGATCTCAGTCAATCAGCTGTCTCACTTATCACAAGCTGACAACCATGGGCTCTTCTTCTTATACGTTGACACAGCCAAAGCCTTCTTCCCAACAAAGTTAGGTGAATACCTTGATTCAGCTTAGCCCCAGGGGGGTCAGCAGCGGGAAGGAGTCCATGGCACCCCACCAAAACAGGCCGAGGTCCCCGACTGGGAGACGGTACGTACCTACCTATCTAATCTTGCCCAATAATTGTTTCCTGTTTGTTCTCAACATCATTGCATCCTTTGATAGGATCTTGTTCCCCTCCTTTTTTTGCCAATTTGTTCAACTTTGAGTAAACGATACAGGCACGATGGCTTCTCTTAAATCTATCACGCTCACCAATCGCTGTATGCATTTCCCTATTTGCACTCGGCCTCTTTCATCTGGGAATTAAGTTAACGTTCTCTAGCTCCAAGGCAACCGATCAAGAACCTCCCGCAGTCGGTTGAGGTCGACCCTGATACCACTGTTGAAGGCCTCAAGGTCTTAATTGCAAAGGAAACCAAGCTCGGAGACTTCAATCGCATCGGAATCTATGATCCTACCACGAAAAAGACTCTCAAGAACCGCAAGGCTCGCCTTGTCGATGAGCCCGCCGTAGTTTCTACTGGCGAGGTTCTCGTGAAGGATATGGGTGCGTCAGAACTGATAAAAGACTTTGAGTGAGCACGTTCTAACGCTTGCAACAGGCTATCAAATCGCTTGGAGAACCGTCTTCGTTGTCGAGTACTTCGGACCTATCATCTTCCACGCCCTCGCCGTCGCTGCCCGCCCCTATATCTACCGTAATGGAGACGGCGAAATGTCTCGAACCCAATGGATCACCTTTGCTATGATCATGCTACACTTCTTCAAGCGCGAGTATGAGACACTCTTTGTCCACAAGTTCTCTGCCAACACAATGCCGTGGAAGAACATCTTCAAGAACAGCTTCTTCTACTGGGCTGTCTCTGGTGTTCTCTGTGCCTACTCCATTTACCACCCCAACTCCCTTGCAGCCAAGGCCGACATTCCTGCCATTGATGCCATTGGTGTTGCTCTCTATTGCTTTGGCGAGTTCATGAATGCCCTTGTTCACCGATATCTTTCGAGTCTGCGTTCTACTGGTGGCACCGAGCGTAAGATCCCTGTTGGTTATGGTTTCGGCATCGTCACTTGCCCAAACTACTTGTACGAGGTGCTTGCATGGATCGGAGTTATCCTTGTCAGCCGTGACTGGACCGTCGCTGTCTTTATCTCTATTGGTGCTGCGCAGATGATTAGTTGGGCCAAGGGTAAGGAGCGCGCCTATCGCAAAGAGTTCGGCGACAGGTACAAGAAGAAGAGATACGTCATCTTCCCTGGTCTTCTCTGAAGAGGAATATCTACAACAGATTTCAGCAGGCATAGAGCAGAAGACACATCAATATAGAGGATATCATGAGTTTTACCAGAGGTAACAAAAGGTGGTACGGCGGAGTAGATGCGGTGTATATTCAGTATTAGACTATCATGCTAGAGTAATGTTCAATAATGGATGGTTCTCATAAAATCATATACCGTGGATGCCAGTTCTCTCGTCCCATAATGTACTCATAATGGTCATGACCCGTCACTCGGTCGGCTGTGTTCCTCTCATCGTGACATCGTAGACATAGAAGCCGTATCTGATCCCTTAGGCCCCCTTCCCACGCTTGAATCTGCCTCCGTCAAGCTCCTACTAGCATCGGAAAATGTACCCGGCACATGGTTCTCCGTATCGATATCCATCTCAACATCGAGCGTCTTGCGCCCTTCAACACCCTTGCTCCTCTCTTCTTGACCAAGCTCCATGGCCCGCTGGTCCTCGCCCTCATCACCACCCTCGCCCTCACTCTCACTCCCAGTGTAGCTTCCACACTCGCTGCAGCTACAGCTCCGATCGCTATTTGCGAGTCTAACCGTCTCCTCCAGGACGAGAAAGTCGCGCTCCAGCACCTCAGCCCAGTTCTGCACGTTACCAAGCTCCTTTAGCCTCCGCGCTGCAGCGTCTGCCTCCCGCGCAAGCTTCACGTTTTCACGACGCAGTCCTTCGGTCGCACGCTGCACATCCTGTGCTTGCTTACTCAGCGCCGAGGCGTTGGAATGCAACGTGGATGCGCGCCACTGCAGCTCAGAGTCCATCATGTTCTCTAGCGTTGCGACGACAGCGCGACGTGCTTCCGCTACGTGGCGCTGCGTCTCGGCCGACGGGAGCGTGGGCTGCAGTTGCGGAGGAGGCGGCGAGGTCTGCTGCGCTGCGGAGGGAATTTGTGCATGAGCATGGGCATGGGCGACTGATGGAGATGCAATCGTGGGAGGAGGAGATGTCGGCGGGCGAGGAGATAATGAAGAAAACGAAGAAGATGAAGAGCCTGTGGCCGCGGCTGAAGTGCCGGGCTGATGATGAGTAGCTGAAGAAGCCGCTGCCGTTGACATGGTGCGCTAGATGCCACTGGGCTATTGATGTCCTTCACAGTAATTGGTTCAAGGATGAAGAGAAGAGATGTAGCTTCGCCGTTTCACGTTGCTCATACCTTACACTGCATGTTGGTGGGGTCGAGTTACACTTGGTCTATCATGCGGCTGATGGCCAAGATCATGGGATCCGACTTTCAGGTGTGGCACCAAGATAGACTACTCGTTCAGGAACACAATGTGAACTTTAAGGCGAGCACTAATACAAATCAGACAGTCACTCTTATATCTACCTGGCTAGTAGCCATGACTTTTGGCTTACACCAAGAGTTCTGTTATCTCTCAGATGAATACCAGGAGCTGTGCTAGTGTACAATGGAACATCTCTGCTTTGACCCAAATCTTTCAGTCCTCAATAGTACCTCGACATCACTCACGTATTTATATTCGGAGACCTTTGTTGGTCATCATGACGGGCATCTTTCCCCAACTTTTGCTCCTCCCAAAAAGACATTGTTTAACATCATACCCATACACAAGCTGCGAATCCTCTCAACGCGGAAAATTAAATGCAAATATGATTCAGCCGACCTGATTTTTGGGCAAATAAATGCAACTGCAACCCCAAACGCCAAGGCTATGCGGTAAAGGAATGGCTTCCGGCGGACTTTTCCCTCTATACGCCGGTTCAAACAGCCTCAATAAGTTCTAAAGATAACCAAATACCCCCTTTTTGCCCTATGCAAACAACAGCGGTGGCTGCACTGAGCAGCAAGTATCAAGTTCGAGATCCAAGAAAGGACTCGGCACTGTGATCTAAAAGGCAACTTTGCCTCCGTTAAGCCGGAGGGGCACTGGCCCAAGTGGCCCATGAGAAGGAAGGATTCCCTCATCTGAGGACATGGAAGACAGTGAAGACAGTGAACTGAATCCCATATGACCCTTCCCAAACCCTCCATTGCGCCCCATAGAGATGCCAGGGTTAGCCATGAGAGCATCAGCTCGGTCAAAGACATTCCCGTGGAATGCCGCTGCAAATGAACCACTTTGCGGCGTCGTGGGAACTGTCGCCTGCATGGCGGGGCCCAAAGCAGCACTCTGTGGCGTGATCGGGACTTGAGTCGGTGACATACCGCGAGGGGGGTAGTGTATCTGCCCGTTCGGCGTATTTGGAGGATGGTTGAAAAGATAGTGCCAAGGGGACTTGGAGATGATGTTGCTTGTTTCCTTAATACTCTGCTGAATCGGTCGCAAGCGTGCCCTGGTATCAGGAGGAAGTGGAACACTGTTGGGGCCGTACTTGATCTGATAGATCATATCCGCCCACGAGTGACTGAAGTTGTTGCAGAGACTCCAAAAGCTCGGTTGCGTTCGAACTCCAGGCTCCTTGAGTTTGATAAGTGACAGTCTGTTCTTGAGAATCTCCGTCTGTTGAATGACATGTCCACACATCGTTATCAAGGCTTTCCAGTGCTGAATCACACTTTCTGGGGTCCTCTGATACATGGCGTTCCTCAAGCCACCTGTGAGTTGGGCTTGGAAACTGGGAAGTGTCCCCATAACGAGATCGGTCGACCTCTGCAAGGATAGGAAGATTTTCTCAAACTGCCGGTCTTCTTCTGTGAACTCGGAAGATATCCCGCGGCTACCTATCGAAGAGAAAGATTCTCCTGATCGAGGAGTGGCCGATGCAATAGTGGCAGTTCGGCCATTGCCATTAAGGTATGCCGCAGAAAGGGGTGTAGGCACGGGTACATCTGTAGCAACACGCAAATTGATCGGATGGTGTACCAAGGTGCCGTTGCGGTTGCGAGCTCCTGCTGACCTACCAACAGTGGGAGTAATGGAAGGTTCACGTGCATGTGCTCTGAGACTGCGCTCGCCCATCTGATCCCCCTTAGAGGCTGCTTGCCGACGCCCATCCTCTGCACTAACAGACGACAGTGTCACCCGTAGTTCCATTATACTATTGTAGAGTAACATCAGAAGCGTTCGAATATATCGAGCATCTCCGTTGTTCACGAAAGTATCGATGTTATCGGCCAGAAGTGTACAAACGTGGCCATATGCGCTAACCAGAGTTTGACAGGCTCGATGAACATTTTCGTTCTCCCTTTGGGAACGGTCGTCGAGGTCGACCAGGGCGTTCTCGTGTTTCTGGATTTCCTGCTCCAATTCCTCAACATGAGAGTTGGTATTGTAGAACACGATCTCAAGGCTAGATCGCTTAGCGGATCCATCACTCGTCAAGCTCATCAGCATTTGGATCATAGGATGGATCTGAAAGACCGAGTAGAGGATGCCCTTAGCAGCTTCAATAACTGGATCATAAACCTTCGACTCCCGCCTCCGTTCAGGAAGGACTGAAAGACGTCTTACGTAGATCGGACGTGCCAAGTATGGCTCCGTTGGTGTCGCTGGGCTCTTCGTCGTTGCTTGGTTACCTTGCATGGCAGATCCATGACTCAAGCCACGATAATGACTAAAGCGATTATTCACTTGCATCTCATCGAGTGTACCAAGGTCAGAAGGTTTTCGCGAGACAATTCCCATGCGCCTGTTGCGGCTCTCTGATCGCTCCGCCCTCAGTAGGCTCTCGGAGTTGCTACGAACACGCTCATTGACATTGCCAATCGTCAATGGCATGACACCGGGTCGTCGAAAAGCGCTATTTTGTTGTGAAAGTCCACGGTAGTGTGATCTCGATGGTATCGGAGGCGCCCGTGATCCGATATTGGGAGAACGAATGTCAGGCAAATCCGCACCACTTACTTTAACAGGGAATCTCCCGCTTGCAACCCTTTTCAATGGAAAGCGAGGGGTTTCTGCCCCCTCGCTAGATTCGTCACCCGTGTTATCAGATTCTGATCGACCGTTGACAGCATGCTGCTTGAGAAACCGTTTGATCTGTAGCGTAACCGCCACCTCCGTCACTTCGTTGTCTTTTTGAATACCCTCATGTGGGGGGCTTGCGGCTTGCACTTGTATCGCATCTCGCGGTGGAAAGCTAATGGGATTGCCCTCAAACTTGATCACTTGCAAGGATCCCATATCGGCAATACAAAGTGGCAACTCTCGTATTTGGTTCTTTGGGATAGACAAAACTTTCAATGACGAGAGTCTCACAATATCTGTAGGAAGACTTCGAAGTTGATTTCGGCCAAGGTCAAGGATCTCCAGGGATTTCAAATCGCACAACTAGCCAGACTGTTAGAAAATGTTTCGACGCCAAGGAGGGAGACATACAGGCATAGGAAACTCCTTAATCTGATTGCCTCGGATGTTGAGATATCGCAACGATGTGCATTCAGAAAAGCGAGCGGGTAAGGTTGTCAGTTGGTTATGAGACAATGCTAGCCTGGAGACCGTGTAGGTATCAGCGTCCGACCGCGTTGCTGAAGATGATCCTGTGGAAACGGACCGCTCCAGATCACCCTTGACAATATCCACGACTTCATCTGGCAATTTTTGGATCCCTTTGCGACTAAGGTCAATTGTGACTCCGGTTCTGAGCCCTGTGCTGACGGCGCCTGCTTCGGCGGCTTGGCTCTCGCTTTCGATGGCGTTTTGCATTGCCTCACGCGCGAGACTGATAACCTGGGCTGCCGACATGCCCGCGGCAGAAAGAGAGGAACTGGAGGGAACGCTTCGCAAGGTAGGAATAGGAGGTGGTGGTGGGCCGTTAGACGTGGCCGCTGAGTTTGGGACTGGACGTCGTCCAGATATATGGTTTTCGGGTAAGCTTCTTGGAACTGAAGCCTGCGATGCAGAACCGACGGACGAGCCGGCGAGTCGGTCTGGCCGTTCCATGGCGGACGGCCAATATGAGGAATGCGCGGCTCAAGTAAGAAACGTGGGGAGGGCGCGCCGGTGGAGAAATCAATCGAGGGGGGGGAGCCGTTGGAATTTTTATGACGATATGTCGATGCTTGAAGGATAAACCGTTTCGGAAGCCCCTCTGTTGCCGTGTCTGCGTTGGTCTTTTGATCAAAGCGCAGGCGCAAACCGAGGCCCGTCTGTCTCGGTGATAGCCAAACCTGCGATCGGTATATCTAGCGTTTAGGCCAATCAAGGCTGTATCGACGACGAGATCGATAAGGTCATGATTATATGTCCGATCGAAGCCAGAGGGCAGCGCGTTGTTTAGGTTTCCGGCCTATTTGTATCGAGACAAGCGGTGGAGTTGAAGTCGAGCGTATTGCGTCGTCAAGACTCAAATGGGACTTGCTGATGGCAGCGATCGACGAGAACCCGTTGAATGGAAATACTCCAAAGACAGGCTTTCGAGAGAAGGATTGAAGAAGAGGAATGCTGCGGGAAGGGCAGTGATGAGCTGATGCAGGCTCGGGAGGCGATGAGGTCGGGCTAGGATTCCGTCTTTGGTAAGTAAGTTTTGCAACACCATGGCAGGATGTAAGGTAAGGCAAGGTAAGGGTGGTGAAAATACCTAGTAACCGGGATGACCCCCGTTAGATCTCCCCTAGCCCTTGGCAGTTTGAATGTGGACTGGTTCTGGATATCAAAAACTCAAAACAGAGTCAAACAAACAGAAGATCGAAAGTAAAAGAGAGCTTGATCAATGGAGGGTGCTCAGGCACATGCTACAGCCGATGTGATGGGTCACCCGCTGTAACTTTGATAGGTACCACCTACTTACTGACTGACTGTCTGTTCCTTTTTCACGCGTCACTCAAATAGATTGGAAGGTAAGGTACCTGGAACTAGATTGGTAAAAAGACACAGAAACAAAGAAGTCTCCTCCGGTTACTAATTCATATCAGTTAAGTTGCAGTTCAGTTATCTTCTCTATTTTCTCTACAGAGTACCAGCTTCCCCCAATCGCCCCTGGCAGTCCCTTGTCTCATGCTTGGATAGGGGATAGCGCATCAGATAGGGGTAACAACCCATGAAAGTGTTTTGGTCAGCAGCTCACGGTTCAATCGTGGGGCCTCAGCGCCAACGGACAGCTGGACCCATCGTAAAGTGAAACACAGTGCGGGGCGACTGGTCAAGATGCTGAAGTCTAACATTAGTGGGAGACGAAGAAAAGATCAGGAACAGTAGAATAATTATTATCTGCTATGAATAAGTTGTGAGCTATCAAATTTCATATTAAAGAATTCAAACTCTGATAAGTCAGGGCAACTTCAACTCCATCTAATCAATATTAGAGTACGGATTAGTCTTCTGAATTATAACTCATCGTTATCCAAAGGAGACGGCTTCACCCCATAAACCCTTCTTTTTCTTCTCGACGCTAGGTACCTGCTAAGGGGGGGGGGCAAGAAAATTTGAGACTTATATCCTAAGCGATAAAAAGATTTAGACAAGTTTAGTATAACTTAGTGGGTCTTTAGACTAGTTGTTTTTGGCACCTTGTTTCATTGTTAGATATTTTCTTGCTCCCTGAGGCCTGCCCAGGCACGTTTCTGCATGCCTATTCAGGCTCCGAGTGGCTCGCTCACCAGCCACACAGTGCGAGTTTTGAACAAGCGAGTCCAACCTCAGTGTGAGAACTCCAGATTTAATCCCTGAAGCTCATGATCCATGTTTCTCTCATTGTTTACGAATACATAATGATAGGAATTAGGGATCTTTTTTGTTGAGAATACCAGAATTATTGCAAAGGAGAGACGCACTAGGTTGCATCCATCCCTCCCTGGAGCCTACCGACAGTACGGAGTAACTGCGTTCATCTGACACGAAGCAAAACGAGACGAGGAAGCAGCTGCTAAATGCTTGCATCCATGGTAAACGAGGGGTAAGTTAATGATGACCTATGAAACAGCAGAGCCAACACCATTGTTGATGGACATCTATCAGGGGTGGCTTTCGTTGGAGGGTGGACTTTGAAGATGTCTGGCTGTGCTGTCTCGGAGGATGAACCCCTGCCCCAGCCAACAGCGAGTAATGCAAGGTACAGAGGAATTACAGGTTCGCTGAATGCGCCCGAAAAGAGCCAGTGAATAGCAGAAGTTTTTTCTCCACGTCATATACAACGCTAGATGATTCCATACCAAGCGTTCGTGTTGTAAGGAAGCTGTAGCAATTGAGTTTGTCTGATGCTCCCCATACGTTTGTCTCAATAGCTGCCCGCTATGGATGGGTGTTCCCTGTCCAATATAATAAACACGCCACGTGACCTTCACTCCTCCCTCTGGGCCTCTCCCTCCATTTTCCCACTACGATTACCTTAGTACATTTGCTCTAGCATGAGGTGCTTTAGAACCCCTGCTAATCACTTCCTTCGTTCACAAAAGCAATAACGTACGTAGCAAGGCTGTTGACAGTGCTGATCCGGTGGACCATAGCCGATTCGGCTGCCACAAGCAGAAACGGATCCTCACCAAACAAGCTTCAACAGATTGTAACTCTGTAAGTTAGAGAGCTTGCATTGAGATGGACTAAAACGATAACAGTAAAAATAGGGTCAATCATTATCAACAAGCGCCGGGAAAGCTGTTCACCCTTGCTACAATCCACCATGAATTAATTCGCTTGACACGCAGAGCCATAGAGTACCGGTAACACAGTAACAATCAATCAATTTCCTCAAGAATCGTGAACGGCGCCATGCCACCTTTAAAAAGAACAAACTCATGCACAGACATTGGCTTTACTCTTCGTCGCCAGTTTCACAAGGAAGATTTCAGGTATACGAATTATTCGGCCCCCCCTCTTTCTTTGACTTTGTCCTCTGACATTTACCAGGCCTCACCAGCGTGAAATCATCGAAGCTGCTCTCAATGGCTATGATGTTTACGTCCAAGCAGCCACGTCCTTTGGTAAAAGTCTTTGCTTTCAGCTACCAGCAGTCATCGATCAGGGCAGTGAGTTTTCGGCCACTATACATTTTTCCTCCTCTAATTATGAGTTCAGTTACCATAGTTGTTTCGCCTCTCTTGAGTTTAATGGCAAGAAGCTCTGGCCCGCCATTGTCACGAAATCTAACATCATCAGATCAACCAAGTTGAAGCCCTAAAAGCCTCCGGTATCGAAGCCAACTTTTACAGCAGCATAACTCCTTATGATGACCGGCGTCGCACTGAACGTGATCTTGAGAGCGGGCATCCAAGGACCAGGCTACTATATGTCACACCCGAGTTGTGTTCTGGCTCACGGTTTCGCGAACGCCTGCAACTAGTTTACAAGCAAAAGGAGCTCGCACGTATCGCCATTGACGAAGCTCATTGTGTGTCAGAATGGGGTCATGACTTTCGAAAAGACTTCAAACGTCTATCTTGGTTTCGAGACACTTTCCCAGATGTACCAATAATGTGTCTTACTGCTACGGCAAACCCGCAGGTTCGCCAAGACGTACTATCTATTCTGAAACTCGATCAAACTCCAGAAAGAACAAGAGAGTTTTTGATGAATCCTCAACGTCAAAACTTGCATCTTGAAATTCGGTACACCAAGGACGAAGAAGATAACCGTCTACAGGATTTTCTGCGATGGATTAACGCTGTTTATGACCGTCGTAAACATGGCCAAAGAAAGGCAGAACTCGAACAGGTAAACGAAAGAGTCGAGAGTGTTCCCGGAATTATATACACTATATCTCGGGATGAATGCGAATCCCTAGCAGCCTCCCTTCGTGCAGAAGGCATTGGGGCCATGCCTTTTCATGCCAGGCTCACCAAGGAAGTCAAAGAGGAAACACTCACCCGGTGGATAAATAATGAGTCTGGGTACGATATCATTGTTGCCACGACCGCTTTCGGCATGGGTATTGACAAGAATAACGTGCGCTTTGTTGTTCACTGGCGCATTCCCAAGTCTTTCGAAGGTTACTATCAAGAAGCTGGCCGTGCTGGTCGAGATGGCAATGCAAGTTATTGCTTTCTTTACTACAGCCGAGAAGATCTGGAGCGCGTCACGAGATTGATCAGATCCGATGCCAAAGACGAGACGAATCAGATCGCCAGACTCAAGAGTTTGCAGGCGTTGGCTCAATACTGCGAAGATACTGACAAGTGTAGACATGCTGCCATATGCAAATACTTCGGAGAATCCAGCACACCGGACTGCGACTTTGCTTGTGACTGGCACAAGGATCCCCAAGAACTTGAGATGAGATTTATGAGGGGCTTAGCAAGTGAAGAATGGGTGAGCACGCAGGCAATGCAGGGCACTTATGATGATGGGTATTATGACGAGTAACGAAAATGACATCTCACAAGTGTTCTCCTCTGATACTTTACACAAGTTTATTATGTGATATGTCGATCCTATTATTAGTCCATAACTGGCCACTGGGATTGGCCGTCTTTACTAACAGTTGGGAACCCGAGAAGGTCGGATATGTCCCACTCCATAAGGTTGTTCTAGCTCATGTGGTTAGAAAAGACCCAACTCCATGTACGAAGCATCACTCACATTTGAGAAAATATCCGTACTAAGAAAGTCGCTACTTAAGCTGTCCGAGGTTATTGCTGATTCCTGAGGTGTTGTAACTGCTTGGATGTCTCGCAGCATTGCCACACAGTCGCGAAGCGTTGATGTTATAGTCTCGTGCACCGCTGGCTTCACAGGCCGGCCCGCTTCCAGTGCTCGAATATGTGCGAGGTGAGCATTCGAGAAGAGAAGTCTCTTGAGGCTGAGATTGCCTCGTACGATCATGCAGCGAAGTTGCACATATATTTCTTCGAGGGTCTTGATCATGGGAGCACGAGTTGCTTTTGCCATTTCGCTGAGAATGTCAGGCTCGTGTGTTGGTGTCGACTCGTCTTGAAGTTCAGTAATGATCTCGAGGGCCAGGATGAGCATAGCATCAAAACTCAATGCACACTTGAAAAGACCACGTCCAACGAAAGACAAGCGAGACAAGTCATCCCATACCTGAATCGGCAAGTTGAAGTCGGCGCCTTTACTCCCAGAAGCGATGACCAGAGCAGACTCGACACACACCTTGCGAGAAAGGTAGAATCGTGGATCGGACCTTGCTTGGAGCATGAAGTCGCGGTGAAGAAACATAACGAATCGGCGTAGATGTATGTCGAGAAGTTTGCGATGGAACTCATTCGCCTCAATGCTCGATCCCTTTCTTGTATTCACTGGATCATGTTGAGTTGAATGGAAGAAAGCCGCCACATCTCGGCACGCCGTACGCAGCTGTGATCCTAACGCCAGTGCTTTTTCATATGTTTTCTCTTGTCGAAAGTCGTTTAGTAGGCCTATGACTTCAACTCTTAGAGGTAGAGATTTAGCCAGCATTATTTGCAGGTACGAGTCTGTAAATTTGTCCATTGGTTTCGCTGCCCTTGAAGAAGTTGACTCTAGATCCGAGTCATCGTAGTTGGATGGAATGGAAGCATCAAAGTCTTGTTCTGAAAGCTGCAGTGGCAAGCCGAGATCCAGGCATGACTGGACAGCCAACTCCAGCACAGTGGCCCATAGTCGAGCTCGAAACTCCCTTTGGAAGAGTGACAAGCCAACAAATAGCTTGGGGTCGCGGTGAAGGCCCATGGTGATAGCGGCACGCAGTAGCGAGCCCGAGGACAGCCATGATGTTGCTCCGCGACAGTTGAAAGTTGATTGACGAGCGATTATCAGCAGGCAGAATATCTGCAGACCATCGAGATTATAAGTGGTCTTTTCATTTGGGCCTGTGAGCCACCACTGCGCATTCTGAACCCATGTCTGTGCAAGTCGCCACAACTGGTTCATCTCCTCCTCCGTGTCAAACTTGGCAAAGGTAGTCCCAAGGGCAAGAATCAATGTCAATCTGACGAGAGATATAGCCGGGACAGATTGTGTTTCCTTGCTTGCCCATAACCGGTCGTATTCCCTCTGGAAAGAGGGGATATGGACGATACGATACAAGGGCTCGAATGTGCGGAGATAACAAGCAATGAGTTCATCACAGACCGTTTGGGAGGGCAAGGTCTCACGAAGGTCATGGATGGGCTGGTCTAGTGTTGGGAAGTTCTGTTTCTTGAGACCAAAACGCAGGATACGAGCCTCTTTCAAAGCGTCGTAGAAGTCGGACTTAGCATCCTCCCAGGATGGCTCAATCTCGACCGGGTGGAAAGTGCCTGAAACGGGAAACTAAGGCAGTGAAGGTCAGTATGGAAATTAAGGTAGAGACATTTAAGATTTACCTTCTCTGCAGTATGAAGCCAATGTGTTTGACCAAATAGTTTCGTCTTTTCAGGTACATGACGCAGCCTAGGTGTAAAAGGAGGGATTGAGATTGATGTTTGAGGGGCTGGGATAGTGTTAGAAAGACAGCTATGTGAGTTTGACACAATCCGATCACTGTTTTCAGGTTGTATTGATCGGTTTACTGGGTTGCGGTGATGTGCTTCTGGATTTCTCCGTGCTGTCGTAACAGCTCCCTCTCTTTCAGTGCGTGCCTCAGCCGGCACCGAGGTGCAAGCTTCAGAGCTCCGAGATACTGCAACAGGGCTCCCATCACGATAAGAGCATTGCATCGGTGCCCGAGCCCGAACACAACCGTTACAAGGTTGGCCCAGACTACACCGAATCTTGCGGCGCCGGCATTGCTCACAAGACCGAGCGGGTCGCCTTCTACGGCGTTTGGGAGCCGGAGGACTTCCAGTCGAAGATACATCCGAAGATTCTCTTTGCCGCATCGCGGTCGACATTCGATGTCGGGCTATGCAATGGTAACAGCGGATTTGTATGTAATGTCTTTGTATATGAGTGAGGAGCACCAAATGCCGAACACTATCCCCGAGGTTTCTTCGGTCCGAAAGAGCACACAAGAGACAGATGGTAGTCTACTAAGTCTAATTACCGAGCTTTTATGCCCGACACCGAAGTTCGGACTTGCCAAGACGCTTACCCTGGAGAGCAGACCAATAATTCTGATATTTAGGTGGCTTTCGTTCGACCCATGAGATTCATGGGTTCACAGCCCAGCGGTTGTTGCTTTTTAATCATCTTCATAGAATACTCGCTTGATATTTTGGATATATCGTCGTCGGCCTGACTTTGAACAGTTTTCCTTTAGCATCATGTTGTCCGTAGGTCAACGTTTTCGCGCTGGCTAACCAATTGCTAGGACACCAACCAACACAACTGACAAGCACCTTGTACATCCATCACTTGGCAAAAGCATTCATCCTGTAGAAATGTCGACCGCAGATATATCTTGGACTTTTGAAGAAAAGTGATATGAGGTCAAGATTGAAGTAGATCGAATGTTGAAACCCGTGAAATCTGCGAGGGCTCAGCAAGTATCTCTTCCCTAAAATTTGGCACGTCAACTGAATATCACTGTCAAAGTGATTTTGCATTTCATTAGCACATTGTTCTGAAGGCAGTTTCGTCAGTCATGAGGAATTCAGTATTCAAACCCACAAGATAGATATAAAGAGGGGAGCTTGCTTCAAGGCACAAAAAATGGCTGACAACTTGACGCCAAGACCTGTTCATGAGTGCTTGTGTTGTCGTGACATAGTAGGATACCTGGTATCTTAAAGATGAGACAGTTTGAGAAGCAAACAGGTGCTAGCCCAATATTTCCCCCCAGCCCGTCGCTTGCGAGGCCCAAGAATCCACGCCAGTTATTATTATTACGTATTAGCCAACATGGACTTTCTTTCTGTTCAGCCCAATTCCCAGGACTCGCCCCAGATTTCGTTAAGATTTATACCCAACAACTCCAGACTCGGATCCAGGTTGAAGGGCTGAGTGGGATCGCCTCCCATCATCCATGGGGCCTGACTTGGATCGATCGGAGCCGTAGGCATTGTCGGCGTAAACGAGAACGGTGTCACCGACTGGATACCAATATTAGGAAACGCCCTGCCATGGAAGTCAAGCTTCATTACCTTTGGCCGGTCATGCAGCGGTATATTAGGCGTGGGCCCAGGTCCCATGTTTCCCGGCGGCACGCCGTTCATGGCAGCTGCAAGGTGCTCCCCAGACACTGGGGGCTCCTGGTTAGCAAGGAGACGGTAGTGCAAGTTGACAAAGCGTTCTGCTGATGTCGATTTGGCGACTTCGGGCTCCTTGGTTCCCAGGTGGGCCTCAAGCAGCCCCAGCGCCGCACACATGATGGAATATCCCCATGGCTCGTTGTTGCCACATCGTAATAGACGATCCTCCTTCATTGCAATGCACTTCTCAATCAACTTGAGTGTGTGATGCGAGTTTATCATGATCATGTTGGTGGAACCTCTGGGCTGCAACATAGTGACGCTGCAGAGGTTGATGGCTGTGGTCAGCGCATCTTCTCTGAGAAAGTTCAGACTCCGAACGCCTTGTTCGTACAGTTTGTCGTGTAACAAGACGATATCTCGTGCTGCATTATAGTAGATGATTTCGGAGTACTGGTACTTGGAGTTTTGTTTCCGAAGCTTGAGATATGGCTGATGCAAGGGGATGATGTACTGCCTCAACTGCACATGCAACAATGTGTATGCGATTAAAGGGTTCTTCTTTCCCTTCACATTCTCCAGGTTCATATCCCATGAAGGGAGGGCATCAATCTCCTGTGTCAAATCGTTGGTGTATCGAATAACTTGGTCATAGTCGATTTCAGACGACGGACCAGTGAGGAGACGGCTGAGTTCTAGGCGTAAGAGCAGACTCTGCCGAGCCAGATGCTGGAAGGAAGAGAATGTATACTCTTTGACAGGTTTTGATGGTGGGAGTACAGTGGTACTCTCATCAAAGTCATCGTCGTCTAAATTGCGAGGGGCGTTAGTGTCGTAGTGAAGCTGGCTAACTAGAGTTGGAAGACAGTGGTCAAAGGAGGCCTGCATGTCGAATTCTTGAACTGTTGCCCAAATTCGTCGACGCATTTCTTGGTGAAAGACGGTGATTTTCGCTGCCATGTGGCTTGGCTCACGATGTAAGCCCACCGCAATTCCGTCCTGAATGAGTGCACCAGAGCCTGTCCAGAAACGCTTCTTCTTGATAGTGTTGACTCGCTTTCCAAGATACAAAAGACACGCCACTTGATAGTGGATCAAGCGTCGGTGCTTTTGGCTTTGTTTTGACGACCACTCGTCACATGCCTTGATCCATCGTTCTGCCCAGTGACGAGCATTCGACATCATGCCGATGAACTTGAGGCTTTCGTGAGTATGGACGCAGCTTGCAACAGCCATCATTGCGAGGATAAGAGCCGTGAAAGCCGCATAGCGTTTGGTGGACCCGGGTGCCCAATACTCGGCGTATTCCTTCTTGAACGTAGGAATGTGAACAATGCGGTGTACCTGCTCGAATTGGTCGAGATAAACATCAATGAGTGCATCGGACTCCTCCTTAGTTGGCAATAAAGCCTCCAGTTCTGGATCCGAGTCCTCGAATATCTTTTCACGGTCCTCGCGCCTTCTCTTTCGATCTTTACGATCATGGAGAATGACTGGACGAAGCCACTCATCGGCCGTCTCCTTCATGAAAGGGCACAAGCCTGTCAGCTCGACAAAGGCCATACTGGCATTGTGCGGGCCAAAGTATCGCGTGCGAAAGCCCCTGCCACGAAAGAATCGAAGTTCTCCTTTCTCGCCCGACATGTTAGTGGCCTCGATGGACTCGTGGACTTCGCGGACAGAAGGGTCCTCGACATTCGCATTCCCGTTGGCATCATCTTTCGTCTGGGGGGAGGTTGTCGTGCCGGCAAGGGTACTCCCATCGAAAGACACACCAGACCGAGAGATTTGATTCTTTAGCTGAACTAGCTCAAGCTCCAATCGGCGAATTCGGTCGTGATCTTGGCGTACGAATTCGGGATCTCGTGGGGACAAACCCGTTGCAGGATCAACGAAGCGGCGAGAGTCGAGCTGGGCGAAAGGCGGCGGAACTCCAGACGAAGCATTCACAACCTCGCCATTACGAGATTCATAGCTGCAACGGTCGGGAGTGCCGCTCTTGATGCAACGCTCGCACGGGAAGCCTCGGTCGCACGACAGCTTTCGGCGTCGGCACTCCAGACAACTGAGGCGGACACGCTGCCGTTTGCGGGCGGGCGGCTGGCCCGAGTCATCTCGGGACCCAGGCTTTCGGTCACCGTCCGAGTCCGGGGTCTCACTTCGGTCTGAGGAAGCCATAATCGATGACAACAGGGCCGGAGCTTATCCAGTGTTGTGCGAATGCCGATGCGGATGCGGTTCGGAGTTACGAAGGAGGAGGAGGAGGAATCGCTCCACCAGCAAGTGAAAAAAGATACCTTTATCAATCAGATCAGATAATATTGGTAGAAGAGTTTTTGCTTGTGCCGAGCGGAGATACGAAAGCATGGGCCTTCCAGGTGTTGTTTGTGAAGTCAGGTGACCGTCTGTCTAATGCTACCATGACCAGTCAGGAAACTGAGACATCTTTAACAGCCAATTGATACAATCCCTACATGAATTGATGCAATAGACGATTGCGTGCCTACGTATTTAATTCCTTCGATTTGTCTACATTGCTTACCTCGTCCAGACTCCTCGGAGTTCCGAAGGGTCGTCTCTGTGCTAACATAAAACTACCTACTGTCAGCCGGATTAATAGTCTCACCTTTATAATTTGAGATGAAGAAACTCTTGACCTATTGTCGTCCATCTTGACTAAGAAAGCTACTTCATCGGCGCAAGATGAGCAGACGATTTTGCTAAAGAGAATCACAAGGACGCGGCACGACAATAATCGGGTCTCTAACTCATCGAAATATAATTCGATATAACCAATACTCACGCCTGAGATTGGTAGAAATGGAATACCGAAACGTCCACATGAGCACTAACGACTCAATCATTCATTATTAATAAGCGGAGTGCCGTTGCAGGGACCTCTTTAACGACAAGGCGCTCACATTGGATCCGATGCTAACTAACGCGGGGTGAAATGGCCCTCCCAACCTGAAACTGAAGACTGACTCGCATTTGGCGGTCAACAGAAGGTCAGAATCGTTCTGGAAACACCTTTGACTTGGCAATTTTCCCACATGGCGAGTCGCAGACTGAAGGACATGCTCTTGGCGTAACAATTGGCAAAGGGTTGTCACACCCAAACCGAAGCTCTACAGAGAAGTCTCCACGAAACCATATTTACAACACTGCAACCTCACAAATACTCATCAATTGGATTTTTGTCCAGAAAACCACAAACGATCATACGGTTCTGTACCGCACTATCCTGGAGCTGTCGTTTCACCTGAAGCACACAGCAATTGTGGTACAACGCTGCCCCAGTTTTTGCCCCAATCTGTTTTGCCTAAAGCTACCAAGCCGCGCTGCACGATCTTGACAGAGGCATTTAAACCGTTGGTTGATTTAAGAGCTATGCTATGTACTGATGCTTGAAGCCGCGTGTTTGCTATGTCGTGCATTAGTACGATAGGAGGAGGGGCTAAAGAGGTGTCAATGCGTTTACCACAAGTTTCACTTTCTTACAGGAGCGAGAGGTTGAGCTCAACAATCAGACCGGAATATCCGAATTAAATCTCGATAAAGTCACAGATCAAGGAATCGATGTAAATAGCATTGCAGCTAATCCATCCAGCGGCCCGTGTAAGATCACTTCCGCTATTTTGAGATGATCCTCAATGCTAGATGCACCTTATCCATGTTGTATGCACAGGGGACTTCATATCAAAACCGGGATGTATGAGCGTACAGGGCTAGTACTAGTCTCGTTACAGTTGGAAGCGGTCTTCATGCCTACCCAACTCGGATGAAGCCCCTTGCCTACGTAGATCTGGGGGGTTTATATATGATAATTAGGATGACCCATGTCTTGCAATATTTGAGCACCCGTCATTCCTCTGTTTATGTTCACTTTTTTAAGCCACCAGCCCTAATGCTACTGGACGGGTATGAAGCTCACATCTGGGGCAGTCTGCTCGTTAGCACTCGCTGCTGGAGTGTTTGGCGCTGACAGACTTGAACTCTTCAAGAGTTTACCCCGTTGTACTGTGAGTTTGAGGTTTGGATGCGGTTTCGCACTTATACTAATGGCTTAAAGACCTCATGTCTTGAACAGTACGGTAACTCAGGTTTCGAAGCCGCTGATATATGCAACGACAGAAATGTCAAGCAGGAACTCGATAAGTGCTTCGCATACGAATGCCGCGATTTCGAAAGATTCGGTACGCCCATCATTCTAGAACATAAATGAGATGGAACTAACAAGTTCTAGAAATTGCAAAGATCTATGCCAATGCCTGTGACACCAAGCCAAAAGACAACCGGCATAACCACTATGTTCTGTTAGTTGCAGAGATACCAGCATGGATCTCTCCTTGGCTTCGACTGTACTCGAGCTGGGCTACTTATGAGGGTCTTTCTCTGGATGACTATGTAATGGTAGTTTGTGGAGTAAGTTGGTACCGCGGCATCCCAGATCATTAAATCTAACCGGCCTTGAGTTGTTGTACACTGTCTTTGCAACTCTGATTCACTTTGGTAAGAATCACATTGCTGAATGAATATGCGCTTGTGCTTACAAGCCTCCTTAGCCCACTCCGTGACAGGAGATACAATTTTATGGAATGCAGTTCCAGAATACATTATAGACGGATTGAAGGTTCGTTTGCAGGGTGCTAGTTTTGAATTGCAGGATGTTGACATTAAACTACCTAGCTTGTTTTCATGGCCGACATCTTTGAGCTTGCCTGCTCGTGTCTATTAAGAGTCGCGGTCCTTCTCGTATGCCTACGCACATCATTTTCTGGCCGATACATAATGATTACAGCTGCGACTCTTTTAATAACAATTCTCTCTTCGATTGCTCTGGCCTTGCTGAGGGTATTCCGATGTTCACCAATTGCATTCGCTTGGGAAGGTTGGGAACCAAACGGGAGAGATGAGGAAACAGGAGGTTGCTTGCCTCAGGACTCACTGGCATATGCGGCTTCCTCGATTGATATATTCCTAAACCTGGTTCTTCTTGCTATGCTTTCTCACCTGATCTTCAGTCGAGTTGCGAACAGTACAATATCTTGGTTGCAAAAAGCTATCGCAATTGCATTGGGAGCATTCGCTCTGGCTGTATCCAGTTTTCGACTGCACCTTCTGGTCAATTTCTTCACGACGATGCAGCCTGTTTGGAGGTATCACGAAAGAATTGTTTGGACGGATGTCGAAGTTTCGATCTTGATGATATGGGCATGCCTGCCTATCTGGCAGTCCTTCACAGACCCAACGCCCCCGAGAGACACGGAAGATACACCCCAACTTCCGCAGATAATAGAAGAGGCCAATATGCCGGAAACACCGTCAACAAATACGAAGATGCCGAGGCCAAACATATGCCAGAGGGGGCTGTTCGGGATCTTGGCAAGGGGACGGCCAAAGAAACTAGTCGAGTCGAACTTACACTTGGGAGATAAAACTTACGGAAACGTCAGAACGGAAATTCAAGGAGGCCAGAGATTCTCTATGATCTCCCAATTGACGGGCATGATTGGTATTCAGGTCAGAACGAGGACGATTAGGCATGTGGACGACAGTGGATGGGATGCAGAGAAGGGATCAGCACGAGAGAATATAGAGCCCACCTAACGATTAACGAACTTAGAAATCAATAATGAAGTAGTAATCCTTGATCAAACACATTTTGAACATACTGTAGTTTCGTGCTCTAATAGTAAGAGCTCGAAGTGGAAAAAATATAACTTATGAGTTGACGACCAATTGTAACACAAATAAGGACGGCAACGCCACAAAGCACGATGTGCCTATCAGATACATACTTGAATCATATTTGAAAGATCATAGTTTCTTTGCAATTATGTAAGTTCTGTTTTTTCACTTACTTCACATGTAACTATCCTTGTCTCGTCATGGCCTCGGGAACCGAGTTTTGACAAATAGTAGGGCTCCACTTTCAACCTCACACGCACCGACTTCCAACTCCACGCTCTCATCTCCTCTAAACACCCAACGAAGCTGCACCTAAACGCAGATCAAAGTGGCTCAACAGAATCTTTCTCTGACATCGGCAAGAACAAAATAAAATGGCTTCTACCGATGATGCTCGCAAGAACCGCATCGTGTCGCACATGAACAAGGATCACACTCGAGAAATCTCCTATTATCTCCGCCATTATGCCCACCTCTCTGCCTCAGCCGCATCCTCAGCCGTGCTCAAGGACATTGACCTCAACGGCATGACTATCAAGTCAAATGATGGAAGGGAGCACTTTGTCTCTTTCTCACCTCTCTCCAGCTGGGCTGAGGTCAAGGACCGCATCATCGAAATGGCCAACACAGCCCGAGAAGGACTGGGTCTCAGCGACGTCATTATCACAGCCTACACACCCCCAGAGGGCTTCGGCATTTTTGTCACAGGATCTGTTCTCTTCTACTTCTTCTGCGCTGGGACACTGCCGTGGGTACAACCTGGCACTCGCATCTGGGAGCTGCTGAACGAAGGTTTCCCTGGAGGCGCGACCTTCTTCCACTGGCTTGTCAGCGCCATCTTCTGGCCTGTCATCGGTATTCATCTTGTTGAATGCTTCTTCTTTGACAGGAAGCTTCAGAGGCACGGCGTTGAGAGATTCTCTGGACAGTGGTGGCTTTGGCTCAGCAACTGCTTCTTTGAGGGGTTCCCTGCCTTCAAGCGCGTGGATGGTATTGTGGCACGGAAGCAAGATAAGGGTGGCAAGTCTCAGTGATATGAATGCGACGAGTGTAGAAAGAGTACATCTCTTCTAAAGTGTCGAAACTCGGGCGGTGGTATTGTATGGATGAATGTTGGTTCCTACCTCTAGTGCTCCGCTGACTTAATGACACCTGTCAAAGCACAAGAGTAGTTCCTATTATGCTGTGATGCATATACTATGGATGAAGGAAACTCTGAGTTGTATGGAAATAGGACCCATCGTTATCATGATCATGATTACACACAGCTAGAAATAGAGAAAACGACTAGAGATACTATGGGTAATCGATAGACCGCCCCAAGACTTTCAAAGTAATATTGACACAATAATCATATTTCGGTTTTCTTCTCTCTTCTGGCTATTTTGTTTATTATTTAGCGTCATATCATCCAAAACCAGTCTGGGACATCGTTAAAAGAACTAACCACCAATTGCCTTATGCTCATACATTAAAGGCGATACTAAGATGTTCTAAATCAATAGGAAGATCTTCTGAAGACCCAGCTGCCCGTTAACTAGATTTAATACGGTCAGAGCTACGAATACGACTCGGAGACACTCCCATTCCAGTTATACATACAGAGAGGTTTGCCGTTATGAGGAGTATAAGAAGGATTCGAGAGAGTATAAAAGGGCTCTCGATAAGTCTGTGATAAAGCTGTTTGTGTATATTTGGCAGTATGATTACACATTACTAGTGGTTTTTGAAGAAAATGAACGTCTTGTAAGATGCTGTTGCATGTAGTTGCGCTTTTAGCGTCGGTCAGAAGATACAGAAAGGTTTATCATCTTCTTCTTCAAGACCCCGCAATATCACTGTGAATCAACTCAATTACATGTTCCCTTTCCGAAACCATACGTGCTACTTGACCTGTCCTCCGTACGGGGCATCCGAGACTCGGTGTCTTGGACGGACCAAACCACTGTGTGCATCTGACATGATTTATCTGCAGATTTCACTTGATAGCCACATTTCAGCGCGGGGGTCGCGTCGTGAACAACCACTCGAATTGCTTTGTGGAAGTTTGCGAACCATTATGCTGTCGCCTCACCTGCTGCAGCATATTGATAGGCGTCGAAGAAACCCAAAACGGCATCGTCTTGTTTACAGCTGACGCCAAATTGAGGCTTTCGATTCGTTGGATTGGTTTGATGTGTTGACAAGTAAGTCATACATACAACATGGCATACATACTCGACTCACCTGCATAACAATCAACGTACTCAATAGCCCACTAGTGCCCGCGAGATCACTCCTCCTGGCCATTCATGAAGCTTTTAGATCGCAGTCGTCCAATACAAGTTCAGCCCTCAGATGAGTCCTATCAGTATGCGATCTCACTCGGAGAAGCCACACCCGGCTTTGCGAGTTCGCAATTGCGGGAGTTCAAATGTAAAAGGACTCTCGTGAGGCTCTCGCCAACTATTTGAGCATCATGTTTCCCATCTTTACATCCACCAAGTTTTAAATCAATGAATATTGCCTTGAGACATTTTCTCTTCAACACTAAGCATAATCTCATTCAAACCCCTCTTGAACTGCATTTCTTTCCCACGGTCAAGTCCACACATCAACTGAGCTAGAACTAAACATGCAAATGAATATATCAGCCAACTGTTGATAATGCCCTCTGTGGTGGACAAAGCAAGTCAATTCTCCTTGCAACATAAACGCTACGCCTTCACAAACCGATACCGCGCTGGAAAGAAACGGTTCACAAAACTCTGCCACCAATTCAATTTCTCCTCATTGATTCAACACCGTCGTCTGGTTTACCAGCGATCGGACATGCCTCAGCACGATTCGGAAGAACAAGTCTTTGTCACTAGAAACAAGAGGTCTTCCGCATCACCCGAGCCCACTGAGAGCTACCACTCACAAGAAGTATCACACACTCTCACTGCAAATAGTTGGATACGTACTGACTGTGCTTCCAGAATCTTTCAAGTGGTGGATCACATAAACCCCTGGCCAGCAACGACAAGGAGAGCGGTCAGGGCCGTCGAGGTTCGCCTGGCGCTCAGTAAGTCTTCGTCATATCGAAGTCAATCTCTATTATGAGGCTGCTAACACGACCTAAGAAGCGGTCAGGACAATTCACCCGCTGCAAGTCTACGCTGCGAGGCCTTAAAGAAGTGTGAAAAGCTTCTCAACGTGCCCTTTCCTCACAGTGTTGAAGTGCAAGCCGCCGATCCCCATCAATCCGACGTCGAGCCCACGAAACCGTCGGCGGCCTACCTGGACTACTGTATCAACAAAGAACTGAGACGGCGTAAGCAGAACATCGTTGATAATTTGATGGCTGCAATTTCGGAATGTGTTGAAAGAAGACTGGAAGCACTCGAGGAAGAGTGTGAGCATACTTCCGGATCACATACTTCGCGTGCTTTTCAGGCAGGAAAACAAATACCCCAGTCAGCTGGCCAGAAGAGATCGAAAGGTCAAAGTGGCCGAGACGAAAGTGAAAATGAGGAAGAAGGAGACGACCAATTCCGTAGAAAAAAGGATAACAAGAGGACAAAAACCACAAAGGACGACTCTCGCCCTCGGTTTGCTTGTCCCTACCATCAACGGGATCCCAAGAGATTCGGCACTGAGAGAACATGCTGTGGCCCAGGGTGGTTGGAAATCGGCCGAGTAAAGTGAGTCAAGCTTACCCCCTTACAAGGTAATCTGCTAACTGTTATATCCAGGGAACATCTCGAGCGCAGGCATAGCCTGTCTCCACATCAATGTAATCGATGCCTTCGCCGATTTGACGATGAGAAAGATCTGAAGAAGCATCAGCGGATGACGACGCCGTGCCCAGTAAAAGAGACAAGTAGTCTTCAACGGAGCCTTTTGGACGGCTACGACGAGGAACAAGCAAAGAAACTGAAAACAAGAGTGAGAATGAGCCCTGTTCAGAAGTGGAAGGAGTGGTATTGTGCTCTATTTGATGTCAAGCCTGATTCTCCTGACATTCCTTCACCATGTAAGTTACTGGATCTATTCCAAACAAATCATAAAATACACAAAAACTGAGTCATATTACAAGACTATGATCCTTCACTCTTAGCCACCAAGGCGCCATCCATCAAGGTCGAAAACCCTGAGGAATGGCGTGACTACTGGAATAAGGCAAAGCCAGCAATTCGACAACAAGTCGCCATGGCAGTAGAAGATGCATTCATCGACTGGGAGCCTCAGATGAAGGTGTTCGTCATGGAACGTCTGCAAGAGCTGCCACGCATAATCGCCGATAAGCTTCCTTTCCCGGGGCTGAGCCCAGAGGAGACGTCCACGGCAGCCGACGATTTCGGACTCTACTCTTGCTTGGACTCTTATTCATTTGCCCCAGAGGACTTGGGAGAGGAGCCTTTCGACTTTCAAGCCATAGATGACGGGCATAACTCGGCAACATTAGATATGACCGAGTCCACGGATTCCTCAGACGCATATCAAGCCAGTGACAGCTCGGCCACGTCCCTGGGAGATGATGCCGCATATCAACAATTCGACTACAAGACAGTCACGATGCCTACGAGCATTGATTTCAGTCTTCCAATCAACGGCGGGTATTACTAACACCTTGACTTATATTATCATGAGTTGTCTGCGTCAGTTCGAACCCTCTTTTATTTTTCGCGTTTCTTTCATAGCAACACACCAGCCACTCACTCTCTTCTTATGTCTCTTTAGTTTCTCTTATCTGGAAATTGGTGGTTTCTTAGCCAAGATGCCCGACATCGCGAAGTTTAACAGTCGCTACGGCAGTCATGCCACCCTTAGTGGAAAATGAATATCTGATCTATACCTCGCTACGTGGCGTGTAAGAAGGATGCGGACTTGTCATGTTTGTAATACTGTATGTACTATGGAGCTAGTTGCGTTGAATAATATTTCTTTGTGCACAAATAGATACTTCAGCTGTAAGTCAAGTATCTCCGCAGTGCCAACGGGAGGATCAAACCAAACAAGCACCGTCTAATATTTAAACGAACGGAATAATAATGTGGTATTCCTTGGTTTATCCAGTACCTACGATAATAGAGGTATGCATCATTTGTAAGTGTGTAGGTACAGTCTCCCGCGGTCGGCCTCCCGCATATGGGCGGGGAAGATCCTCGTCATTGATGGAATTGCTTGCAAACACAGTTTCAAGAATATCATCCTGCAACCAAATCCTTCTTTTCAACTTAATACTTATAGCCCTTCTTCTCTTGAACGGAGTTGCTCAAGGACGAGAAACAACAAGATGGTTCACCCCACAGTTCTGTATTTGATGGTAAGGCGACTATCGTGCACACAGGGGCTTCAATAACTCTCGACTGACCAACTTTCATAGGTCAGCCTTGTTCTGCTCATCGTGGCAATGTAAATATCGGCTTGGCCACGTTAGCAGGTGAAGTCTGACTCTTGTACAGAATCGTCCACGTCCGCAGTTCAAATCTCTCGCTCGTGATCTCGCCAACTCTGTCTATTCTTACGGTTGTTCTCCCGATTTTCGGGTTTCTCAACACTGCTTTCTATCCTAGTATCCGCCGTACCACTAAGTCGTCTTCTAGTGGCATAGCTCAACTTGCTCCTTTGATTCTCCAGGTCCTTCAAGCTCTTGTCACCACCATACTGGCTACACTACTTCTAGACCGCGCCGTGCCTTCAGAAATGATGGGATGCATGCTCGATAAGAAGTGGATGAGCATGTTTCGTGCTCATGACGCAGGCAGTATACGACGGATTCAGGATGCGTTTGACTGCTGTGGGCTGAACTCAATACGCGATCGAGCATATCCATTTCCTGGTATAGCGCCTAGCAACTGTGCGGAAACATACGGAAGAAGAAGTGCGTGTCGTGAACCTTGGTCAGGAGCTTTAAAGACACTGTCGTCATGGGACCTCTCTGTCGTCCTTGGCGTCGGGTTGATCCAGGTGTGTTGAAAGCTATATTCCTGCTCCGTAGGGTTTCAGATGTTGATATAAAGTACAGATACTCGGACTCCTCCTATCTAAGAAAGGTTCCAGCTGGTTGAATAACTGGCGAAATCATGGCCGGGGGCAAACGGACCAACACCACGAGAGCCGCCGCCCTTTGCTGATTGACAGGGAGAGGGATGTCATCGAGGAAGAAGAGACTGCCCCTAAGCGTCCAGAGAGATCATCACCGGGTTACGGGAGTGTACATGAGAACGAATCGGGTCCCAGAGTTGTGCCATCGTCCATTATCGAACGGAACAACTGGACAGAGGATTAAGTTGGCGGCAGGAAGGTCAAAACAAATTGGAGGGCCAAGATTTGAAGCATCAATGAAGTACAAGGATCAAAGGGATTGATGTCTGGCTTATAAATTGTTGTCGATTGTGATTAGGTATCTGTAGGATCGTAGTATATACCCTTCGACAGCCTGTCTATCCACCATAAGGACCCTGATAGCTTATGGTCAGCTCTCGCGTTAGACAGTAAACAATAGATCAGCAGTCAAAGCGAACAGGAGCGGGATCATCACAAGAAATAAGTCTGAGTGGGTATCGAAAATTGGATATTTCAGATGTGTCGATATTCTGGCATGTAATGCATAAGACAACCCATAGTGCTGGCATCTAGTGGTGTCTATAGTATATGATCGGTTACCTTCCTGCTTCTTTACCCAGCTTCTCCAAAGCAGCCTCATACTCTTCCACTCTCTTTTCATCAATCTCCTCAATCCTTGTTCGCTCGACCTTTTGAGCTCTCTTGACTCCAGCACCTTTGGCAATCTTGCCCCAGAACCAACCACTCTCATCATCGCCAACGAGTGTCCAAGCGCATCCTGCCCTTCCAGCTCGAGCTGTTCGACCAACTCGGTGAACATAGCCAGCCACGCTGGGCGGTAGGTCGTAGTTGATAACATGGTCAAGGTTGGGAAGATCGATACCACGAGCGACAAGGTCAGAGGCGATGAGAAGGCGAATGGGGGATGAGGCAGTCGAGAAGGCCCGGAGAGTCTTGCGGCGGATGTGTGTTGGTGTAGTTGATGTGAGTGTGCCGATGTGGTTGGCCAAGGAGGGATCCAACAGAGCGAGTAGTCGTGACAAACGAAGTGCAGATTCGTTGGACTTTGTGAAAATAAGAGAAATCGGGATGTGAGACTTAAGTGTCCGGCCTGTGACCTTGGGTCTGGTATCCGTCTCTGTGTCAGAATCCGAGTCAGAAGATGTGTCGGAGCTTGTATCTGAAGTCGCATCAGAGTCGGAGTCGGAGTCAGAACTGGAGCTTGAGTCAGAGCTGGTAACTGAATCTTCGGCTTCATCAGCCTTGGGTTCCTCTTCGTCTTTGTTCGGGCTTGCCATGAGCATGTCCTGACTGCGGAGTAGATCGAGCAAGTAGAGGGGCTTGAGATTGGTGTCGTGCACTCTGATTGCATGCTCCATCAACGACACGGGTAGAGAATGCTCAGCAATCTGGGTGTCGCCATCGCTCTCCAGAACAATCAGTCGTGGTCTTTGCAGGCCCAATTGATTGAGGAGGCTCAAATCTCTTGTGAGCGTAGCACTCAAAATAACCTTGCGAACACCAGAAAAGTCCATGTCATGGAAGTCTCGTGCGGTAAACTTATTGATCCGGAACTTTTCCATAACGAGGTCAAGCCAGCCTTGGAAGCTCTGAGCGAGTAGCTTATCCGCCTCATCAACTACCAACCATCGAACATAATCCAGGTTGAAGCCCCTTGTTTGTTCCATATGCTCAACCAGTCGTCCAGGAGTGCATATCAGAACATCTATTTTGGAAAGGTAATCGACCACATATCCGTTCATATGGCTTAATCGAGGGTCTGTGTCCTCCATGTCAAGATCTTGGAGGCTATCCGATGCTGAAAGGCCCCATTTCAGCTGGTTTCGACGCTGTGTCTCCTCTCGTAGCTTTTTGTATGCATCAGGGTCATATCGAAGCTCCTGATCCATGAAGGCTTTCTGCTCGACCTCGAGCGACTGGCTACCAATGGAGATTCCTACTCGTACTCTTTTTCGATCACCACCATCGAATGCCCTAGCGCAAAGTTCAAAGGTCTCTTGAGCTTGCTTGACCAGTTCACGTGTTGGTAGGACTACTAGCGCACGCAGCCTCGTGAGATATCCTTGACTGATATCTCGTACAACAGGGAGAGCATAGGCCAGTGTCTTACCGGAACCGGTCGCGGCAGAGATGAGCACATCTCCCCGTTGCTTGCTTGTTGGCAGCAGGAGAGGGATTGCGGCAGTCTGCACAGCAAAGGCATCTCGGAATCCCTTCTCCTCTAATACTCGACAAGCCTTGGGTATAATATCTAGTTCAGCGAAAGGCGTGCGTGTGTCCTGAGAGACACGAATCGGATCTTCAAGCCACGAGGGCAGAATCTTGTAGCTCGGCTTTGAGGTCGTCAGAGAGCTGATCAGCTCTGGCTGAGGTAAAGGCTCGAGGCCGTGTAGTTCGCCCTGATCCTCTTCATGCTCTTCGTCCGCGGGCAGCTCACTGGCAAGCTTAAGAGACTTTTCAAGCCTGCTCATGACCGTCTTGTGCCGCTGGTTTGTCTGCTGTTCGTCTTGTTGTTCCTCTGCTGGCTCAGTTTCCTTTTCCTTCTTTTTCTTCTCCCTGCGCTTTTGTCTTTTGTCTTCCTCATCTGGTGCTGCTTCGGTAGGCTCAGGGACATTCTCAACCTCTTGAATGGGTTCTGCCGCGTCGGTCATGGATACATCCTCGTTGCGATTTTCGTCCTCGGGAGCAGGCATGTGAGGAACTTCTAATTCTTGCTCTCTATCCTTTACCTTTCTCTTCCTCTTCTCTTTCTTTTCCTTCATTTCTCGTTTCAGGATTTCCTTGTCCTTTGCTGAATCTTCGTCCAAAGTCTGGCTCTCTTCGGGCGTTTCGTTTGCTTCCTTGGGTTTGACCTCGGGGGCCTTTTGCGCGGGCTTGATGTCGTCATCGTCGCGTTCATCATTGGTAGCTCCGGTTCTCCGCTTGCCTCTTCTGACCTTCTTCTTTTTCTTCGGCGCATCTTCTCCATCCTTTTGTGTTGTTGGCTCCTCTGTCTTGGTCTTCTTGCTATCAGGACCTGGTGAGCTTTTGCGCTCATCTGAAGCATCTAATTTCCGTTTGGCATTCTTAGGCGGCTCTTCATCAAAGTAATAGACTTGGGGAGTCTCTATGGGTTTGGGCTGAGGTACAGGCTTTGCGCTCGGAGGGACGTATCGCGAATAACTAAAAGCATTCGTCGCAGGAGCAGAAGCTGTGCTATTTGTAGTTTTCAATGACGATGGAGGAGGAGAAGTATTCGAATTGCTTCCACCATTCGAGGGAGGGGCATATCTGGCGTACATTCTTCTTTCGAAAATGCTGTATTGAATCAATCGCAATGGAGGGGCCTGAATTGCTTCAATTCCCAAAATTTTGGATAGTTCTTGATCTTATTGAGGTTCTGCCGTCTCTCACCGCTAAAATTATCTGCTCGATCTGCTTGCTGGCATAGTGGAGAATACGCTTGTACGAAAGAAGTTAGTCTCTACTCATCAAACAACCTAGCACGTTGGGTGACATCCTCGTTAAGAGGACCCTTTAGGGGGCAAAGGTTTTGGTTCGACTCCAGGGCTTGGATTTCTATTTCTAAAAGTTCTTCATCTCTAATTAATATTTTTTTTTCTAATATGCAGTATAAGATATGAAACTAAAAGCATAGTAGAAATCTTATTAATATTGCCTAGCTAATAAGGGCATTGTTTTTCCTCTGTAATAGATCCTCATGGTACCGACCCAGCGACTCCACACTGGTATGCTCGCACCCTTGCTCACCTCGCTCAGGTCCTGAACTTAAGTTACTCTGGATAGTGGCTTGGAGTGCAAGATAAGAATATGACAGACATCTCATCTCAATAACCAATACCAACAAAGATCTCTGATTACATCAAACTTCAATGCTATAAGAACCTCAGCAAGCGCTGACCTTGGTACACATTCAATCAAACTTCCAGTCATGCTGCATCCCCCTTTTCAACCTCAACCGCCATCATGACACGCCGCACATACAATATCGCCATGGTCAGCGACTTCTTCTTCCCGCAACCAGGAGGCATCGAATCTCACATTTACCAACTCGCTACGAAGCTTGTCGACCGTGGCCACAAGGTCATCATCATAACTCATGCCTACGACGACCGGAAGGGCGTGCGTTATCTCACAAACGGCGTCAAGGTCTATCACGTTCCTTTCCTCGTCATCTATCGTTCAGCGACGTTTCCAACGGTCTTTTCATTCTTCCCCATTTTCAGAAACATTTGCATCCGCGAACGCATCGAGATTGTGCATGGCCATGGCAGCCTCAGCAGTCTATGCCATGAAGCTATCTTGCATGCGCGTACCATGGGGTTACGTACTGTTTTTACAGATCATTCACTATTTGGCTTTGCCGACGCTGGGACAATTCTCACAAATAAGCTTCTCAAGTTTACTCTGAGTGATGTTGATCACAGCATTTGCGTGAGCCATACATGGTAAGAAGCAAGCGGTCGTTGAACCAACTCGGTAGCATTTAATGACAAGTCCTAGTAAGGAAAATACAGTCCTACGCGCATCACTCGATCCAGTCATGGTCTCTGTGATACCAAACGCTGTTGTTGCAGAAAATTTCCGTCCCAAGGACGTCCCAGCTTCACCGTCTCCCCAAGCCATGACTTTTGGCTCTGAAGGACCAGTCTATCCTCCACCTCAGCGTATTGGACCTCGCGATACCATCACAATCGTCGTCATCTCTCGCTTATTCTACAACAAAGGCACCGATCTCCTCATTGCCTCCATTCCCCGTGTACTGGAAAACCACCCAAACACACGCTTCGTCATCGCAGGCTCTGGGCCCAAGGCCATCGACCTCGAGCAAATGATCGAAACAAATGTGCTACAGGATCGTGTCGAGATGCTCGGTCCCATCCGTCACGAAGAAGTTAGAGATGTTATGGTTCGAGGCCACATTTATCTCCACCCATCTCTTACCGAGGCTTTCGGAACTGTCATTGTTGAAGCCGCCAGCTGTGGGCTTTACGTCGTATGTACACAGGTTGGCGGCATCCCAGAAGTCCTCCCCTCGCATATGACGACATTCGCCAAACCAGAAGAGGATGATATTGTCCTCGCCACAAGCAAGGCCATCAGTGCGATGCGTGCCGGAAAGATTCGTACCGAGAAATTTCACGACCAAGTCAAAAAGATGTACTCGTGGCAAAATGTCGCTCTGCGGACGGAGCGTGTTTACGATGGCATTTCGGGCACCATCCCCGAGGACGAATTCTACGGCGTTGATACCTCGGGTTATGGCAGCCGCATACGCAATTTTGCTCTTATAGATCGACTAAAGCGTTACTATGGCTGTGGCATCTGGGCTGGAAAGCTCTTTTGTCTTTGTTGTGTTGTAGATTACCTCTTTTTCCTGTTTCTCGAGTGGTGGTTCCCAAGGGACAACATTGATTTATGCCCCGACTGGCCTCGCAAGAGACCTGCCGACGATGATGCAAGTTCCAAGAAGGGTGCACATAGTAATCGGTCAAGCACATCACAAGGGGCTCCGAAGTTCGAATAATTCTAGCACCTTCGACCTGATAATGGCATGATGACACTTTAATATTGGCAAAGGGCGCAGGGAGTTTACCGCAATGTGTTCGGATATGTCACCGGGCCATGTTAAGGGAATGAATTATGCATGAATGAGGCCTCGGTTAAAGTGACACGAGTCTGGATCGGTTGGTAATTATCAAGGGGCTAGCTATTCTAGACGCTGTACACAATAATGGTAAAAATACATGCTGCTTCCCTCTACAGCATATGAGGCCGACGTTCAAGAAGAAGCCAGAGTGATCTTCCAAATTGGTGCCAATCAAGACGATCAGCCCCGAGCTCCAATGCGGCGCCTCTTGGCTGTTCCAGTCTCACGTTCACCTCCCTCATCTTCGTCGTCGCCCGTTTCCTCGGCGGGTGTAGCGACACTAGCTGGACGAACGGCTGAAGGTGGAGGCGCGCTACGCTCCTTTTCTGCACTTCGTAGGTCACCTAGTAGCTTCTCGACCTCAACAAACATGCTGCGGGTATTTTTTACAACGCCGTTCTCGTCGAGGCGGTAGCCCACTACTTCTTCTTCTTCCTCCTCATCCTGAGAGCGTTTCATAAAACCAGGTCCAGGACCGCGATCCGGGTCAGCATTGTACATGATGGCGTTGCAGAACATGTGGACAAGTTCGCGCTCAAGCTGGGCGCTGTTGATGATGCCTTTTGGAGGAACAAGCTCGTCAGATACAGGTAGCCACACATGTGCAGTGCCAGGATCACCGCCGGGAAGACTGGCGGCAGCTTGAACAGCCGCCTTATTCCCATGCTTGATAGCAGACCGGATTGATGTTATATCTTGAGGCTGCAGCACAATCTGGCGATAATTTGGCGCGTCCTTCTCACGGAGCCTGGTGGCAAACATGTTCGCATCGCGGTGGCTTGAAATCTGATCCAGAGCAGATGACGAAACTTTAGTGAAACCTCGCGTCCAAAGAACTTGGGTTGTCTCAGGTGGCGGGTCAGCTGGCGTACTTTGTCTCTTTCGCTTATGGAGGCGCGAAGAGACACTGCCAGGGGTCATGATCTGAGGCCGACCAGGGACGCTCTCGTCGGCGGTGGTATCGCCTGTATCTTCGGTTGGCCGAGGTGTAGCATCTTCATCCTTAATCTTGGGTGCTGATTCGCTTGTCTGAGTCGCAGGCTCATCAGTGTGAGATAGAATAGATTGGCTTCGCCTGGATCGAGTGAGAGAAGGTGTGGAACTAACTGCACGAACCTTCTGCCCGGCTCTGGCAGACCGTCCGCGCGCAGACTTAGAAACGGCCTGTTCGAGTTTCGAAGGTACCTTGGGCGCTTGCTTTCTTGAAGGTCTTGGTGTTGACCCAGCAGAGCTCGGTAACGTTGCAGGCTTTTGAGGGGGACTGACTGGCTCAAAGGCTGGACTTTGAGGTGCCACGCTCATATGACTAGGACCGGGAGTAGATGGAGTGGAATGTGGAGCCCATTTTGTTCCAAACCCGTGAGTAAGGTGAGTAGGTGTTGCTGAGATGGGCGTGTGCGGTGCCGATGGCATCCCAAGCTTCTTAACCGGGGTATTTAGAGCCTGACGAATGATGTGGCCCAAAACGCCAGGTCGTGGAGGTTGGTTAGCATACTGCGATGATTGAGCCTTATCAGCTTTCGATGCTGATGGCACAGGAGAGCTGACGGGTGAGCCATGCTGAGGAGGTTGAGGCTGATACCCTGGTGGCCGTCGATGCTGAGGAGGGGCGATGGAGCCTGCACTTGCTGTAGGAGGAGTTGGGGAGCCTGAGGCAATCTGTCGGATTTGCTGAGTCTGTCCTTGAGGGGGCTGGATAGGGCGAGGATGTGGCACAGGAGTCGTGGACGATGGGCGGGCATGAAGTGCTTGGCCTCCGGGCGACTCTGCAACTGGTCGTGGAGGTGCCGGCTGCAAAGGAGGGGCTAGCTGACCAGCATGCTGAGGTGGTGCCAGGCCTGGCTTTGCGGAATTTGGCCGTGGCTTCTGCTGATGCTGTTGTGGTAAAGACTGAGGCTGAGCGTGTGTGACAGGTTTATTTTGCAAAGATTGTTGAGCATGAGCATGCTGTGCGGGTGTAGACGTTTGGATTTTTTGGACTTGTTGAGTATGTTGTGTCGGCGTAGCGTGCTGAGCCCGAGGAGTGTGAGGAGCTGGCGGCGTTGGTGCTGGTGGCTGCGGAGGCTGAATAACCTGGGGAGGATGAGGGCGTTGTTGATGAGGTTGAGCTTGAGTCTGTACCTGGGGAGGTTGCGGAGCAACAGGATATGGTCGAACCTGCTGTGCCTGCTGGGGTGTTTCAGGGTGAGATAATGGCTGAGCACCAGGTTTGGGAGAGAATTGGGCAGTTTGTTGAGGGTACCAATGTTGTTGTGGTGGTACCTGCTGTGGGTGTTGTTGTTGAGGATGTTGTTGTAGATGCTGCTGTTGTTGCGCTGGCGGAGGAGCTGTTGGTCCTTGAGCGACAGGTGATTGAAATTGTCGAGGAGGGGGTGTATGAGCTGCCTGTGGTGGTTGATAAGGTTTCTCCCACTTCAGAGCAGCTCCTACTGGTGTCGTGCTTTGAGGAGCCGCATTGCCATCCTTCAGCTTGGCCCCGTTCTCTGGTCTAGGAGCGGGACTCTGCTTGAGAGGTTGTGGCGCTTGTAATGGTCGTGGTGTTGTCTGAGGAACACCTGCTGGAGGCTGCAGCACCGAGCCATTAGAATTCGGCGGAGTTGGTGAGGTTGAAGGTCGGATCGATGCCGTTCC